ACGTTGGGTCACTTTTAAATTTTGCATTCGTATTCATTAAATATTCTAATCCTTTTCAAGTGAGGTCTTCGCAGTTGTCACTTGAGACTTGAGAGGGTTGGGAAAATGGAATTGTAAACTTTTCAAGTTGTCGCCGTTAGCCCTCATTAACTTTTTCCTCAGCCAACTGAGCAGAACGCAAGTACTTTTAACTGATGTTCTTCAGCCATTTCAGCTAAATTCGCTCCATATTTAAACTTTGCACTTGTTATTTATAATTTTTTTTATATCTAATCAAATCTGCGTCAAAAAAACTCCAAAGAGATTAAAGGTTACCTCTCTTCTCCTTAATAAAAGTTATTTTGCTTTCGTTCCAAACATTTTGATTTTCAATTGGTCGCTTTCAATTATATATGCAGATTCAATCAATATAGTCGGGCTCACTCAAGAGCTCGTTCTGCTCAAGAGTCCCCAACATTTGTCCCCTTTTTTCCCATTTCCCCCTAGTCCTTTTGGACGGGCATTTTGACAGTTTGAGTGGTTTTGGTTGTCAGTTATAGCATTTGAGGGAAAAATAGACTGAAAATGCTTGTCTATGAAAAATCATTTTGCATTGAATGTTAGCGCGGAGTGGAAAAGCAGCAAGAAAGGTTTTTCTATAAATTATGTTATGTGTACTTTGAAAGCATTAGTGTCATGCCCAAATTGACGTAAAAATCCAGCTGAAAATCTTTGGAGATTAAATTGCATTAGACTAATATCTGACCACTAACACTTAACGTGATTAAAACTCAATTAAAGTCTTGGCACTCTGGTGTCCTTAAGCCACTCACATGCATGCCGATGATAAATTTCCACTGGTGCTCCGCTTTTACTGCCGTATATATACTGGTGCTTGTGTCCCACACACAAATGCAATTAATTTATGCTGACCAAGCCCTGGTCCTTGAATGTTCCCTATCCAGTCAACCACTTCGGGAGCAAAAGTTACAGATAAACTGCCAAAGGGCAGTGTTGGCTGGATAAATGGAGGCTGTGGAAAAGCGAGTGGTTACGATTAAGGGGAAACGAGTTTGGGTACATTAATCACAACAAGGATTCAGTGCATCAATAAAAAAATGTGCCCCTATGTGTGCGCTATTGGGGAGCCGAGTACCGATGAAATGGAAAAATGCGACAGAAAGTGCACCTCTTAAAACTGAAACAGGAAAAAACATTTCGGTCGACCGGTTTTTAATTCAACCGTGTGTGAAACTCTCACTAGTGTGGGGAAAACGGCTTTATTCTGTCCCGGCCAATTAAATATTTTATATCAAAGGATTAAAGCAAGTATGCGTATGTCACGTATGTTAACTCCATTCAAGCGAAAGTCATTAAGAGCAATTTGAAGTGGGTGGTGGATACAATTAAACTGAACAATAAAGAGACCGAACACGAGGTCATTAAGCATCTGCCTGTAGTCTCATCATCGAAACAATTAGACTGGGTAATTGCAGTGAACATTCGGATGGTGCAACTCGAAAATTAGTTTGTGTTTTTAGTGTGATAATAGAGTAGCGATTTATGCATATTATCTGTGAAACTATGATCTATACTTATTTACAATAGTTGTGGTATTGTATATCTTTAACTGCTTAAAAAGTAGCTTAGCCAGCTTACATTTTCAATATATGACACCTGCATTTTGTCATTCTGTCTGTGAAATATTTCCTCTGGGTCCCATCTATAGTAAGCCATACTCTCATGCTTTCACCCAACATCTCACATGTGGATGGCCAACGTGTCAACTAGTGAAGTGTTTACTCCCACAAACGGCTACCTGACTCGACTCGCTGATGATTAGATGATGGTGGTTAGGACAGGATGTCCTTCTCCTCCTCCTGCTGCTGATGATGCAGCTGAACTGATGATGGAGTAATGGGGAACGAGACATCATCAAAATTACATCATCTAATTTCAATTAGACGCAATTCAAGCTCAAGTCAATTAAGTCGAGCATTCGGCGGAGAGTGTTGAAGGTTTGCTAATGAGCTTTTCTAGCTCCTGCTCATCTCGGGCCTCAGTTCTCTCGTCACCGTCAAGGTTAATTAAAACATAAACTGTTTTAACTGAATGCTCGTTGGGAATAGCCAGGCAGGCTGCAGTCATCAGACACGAATCTGCTGATTAAATTTGAGCCATCGCACTCCTTCAGCCAGCTTATGCAACAAATTATGCGTTGCTGTGTGGCTCGGTTCTGGTTTCATTTTGGCGCCCAACAGGGATGGGGGGGCGTGGCACCGCCCCAAAGCCGATTTCATTAATTATTCAACGCACAGTCCGCTCCTGGGGGCCCAGTGCTGCTGATTTAACAGCCGAAAGCATTAGCTGGCACTTTCTCCTCTGGTTTCGGCTAGCTCTCCTCCAAGGAGTCGTCGTCCTTGTTCGGTGTCAACCTAAGCATGTGCTGACTGTATAATGAATCGTGTAGTTTATGTTTATGCTCATGGAGGAGATTTCTTCTTCTGGCCTGCTCTTGATGTCGTATATTACTCACCAAAATTGGTTTAGATTGGATTGGATTAGGTTGTGTTTCCTGATTGCACTTTTACTCACTGTTTGAGGAAATGAATTAGTATAATTTGTCTATATTAAACAGTTCATCTGGGAAGCGTATTAATAAAGATTTGGGTCTGTAATTATGATAAAGCGAATTTATCGATTTAAGGAAAAACTATAGTATTTCATTTTGACAAAATCATTGCAATTTACATTAATTTAATTTGGGTATTATTGGTTCATTACAGTCGAAACCTTTCCTTAGTTAACTTTATCACGTAACCGAACTGGTTCGTTTACTGCCGTACAAATAAAGGCTACCAACAAATTTCCACCTTCAAGGACGCTCAAGTTTATACTCCTCGTAACCCCTATTAGCATATGCCATCCTAGACCGACAATAAAGTGTTCTGAGCTCGAAGCAATTCTTTTTATTTACTCGCCATGCCTTGAATTTGATTCTCTAATCCCTCAGGATGGGAAAACTGTGCACAACGCGTCCTCTTTCCGTGGAGGTCTCTCCGGTTGGGATCCATTCTTTTGTCACAGTTTTATGAGCAACGCGTGAGGGTTCCCATGGCTAAACACGTTTGTGTGTTTAGCATATCAAAATGGCAATCGCACACCGGTTACATTGATTGCGTATGAGTTTATAATCCTCCGGGCAGCTGCCGTTCCGATTTTGGACGAGAGATTTGCGCCGGAATTTACCGCAGACAAATTCACAGCTCATTTGCCATGCAACAGCATCGCATTCGATCTATTCGATGCTGGTTGGAGCTTGGATTTTGTGTTGTTCCTGTTTTATTTATGGAATTAATTACGAAATTCCACATTACGTGATTTATTCAGCTGCAGAGATAGGCACACATCGGCTCATACTGATACTTTTTGCGGTTCGGTCTTGTCGTTTATAATTAGTTTTGTAAATGTATCGACAAACATAGCATCCTAATATATATTCAATTTGTTTGCTCTAAGCTTTGCTCTTGGCGTGCATCCTAATTACTACCGCTTTTGTTTCAAACTGAAAGGCATAGCACAATATAAGCTAAATAATTGAGTTTGTAACATAAATATCTAAATATGCTGATGAGCAAGAAGAGGGGATTAGTAAGATGTTGCAATGTGTAATTAATGATGAGGAATTTTGCTCGAGCAAGGCAAGCTAAGTAAGTCATTACGAAATGTGGTTTATTTCAGTTGACGAAAGCTTTTTGGGAATTAAAGGATTTAAAACATTTCAGATTCAAATCTGCTTGAAGGCCTCTGAATTCAATTAGTATTTTTAAATAAATGACTTATGGTCATTAAAGGATTCATGAAAATGTAATTGGCTTTACATTTTTGATTAAAATAGATTGGGAATACCCATTGGCTCACTACCCATTTTAATATTAAAAAATTTATCTAGAAAATAAAACGTTTAGTCCTGACCTTTCAAAGTCCTTATTTATAACTTTTATCGCCCCCGAGGCGAAAACAGACTGACTCGCGTAATGAGCTTGGTGAACTTAGAACCAACCGACCATTATTATTATTCTTATCAAAGGAAAACATTGGCAACCGACGAAGCCACGACTTGAGGTCATTGCAAGTGGCATTTGTCATTAGCCAAATTTAAAGTGAAAGCTGTTGATAGTCGCAAGGACATTAATGGTGGCCGGAAGTCCTTGCGCGCTATCAATTTTAGCGCAGCTCTGACTTTTCATTTTGGCTTGCTGCAATTTTGTCTTCTCATTGAAATATTACTTTTGCCGGGTGCAAGAAAGTTAACAATTAATTACGAACGTCTTAACAAGTTTTTTTGTAAAGGTTTATTGCCAAGTAACTTATGCAACTTTCATCACAATTAAACATGGGACAATATATTTAATATTGGTTTATTTTGGTATTCCTTAATTTACTGATTTTACTACTAAAATTTGTTTATGGTTCTTATTTATTAAAATTAGTTTATTAGTTTTTCATTCTTTTATGTAAAACTTTAATTAGTAAATTTGTTTCAATGGATGTTGTGGCCAAGGGGGTTTTGCTTTTGACATTCCGTGAATCCTGGGAGGAAAAGGACCTCGAGTTTCTTGACTGCATTTCCCCTCGACCATTTGGCTTTAGCATTGGTGAATGTTGCTACCTTTTCTAATTAAAAGTTCTGGTAAATGTTTGTTTTTGATGTTTAAGCCATGTCTGGTTAGCTTATTTGTGGTTTTTATTTCCACTCTGCCGTTTGTATCTATTTGTTTTCCCCTTTTTTCATTTTCCATTTCCTAACTATGAAAAATGTCGTATTATGCAATGCAAATGCTGTCTTTCTAAGCTTTTAAATAGGCTTAGCTGTTATTTCAAATATATTTTGAAATATATTTTTTGTACATTTCGTATAAGCCTTGAAATTGGGTTTTCTTTAACTAACTTTTAATCTTTAAATCTTCGAAGATAGTATGGTTAACTTAAATTTAAAATCCCTCCTTTGTATATTCCAGCTTCCCGCCAATTACGCCGCAAAGTGCCCTACGCAGGTCATCTTATGACGCCGCGTCGCCTCTGGCTCAATAAAATTCCCACACAATGTGACGTGGTAATTGAATTTCCCGAGGATGCACCAGACGAGGCGCTCCGCTGGCTCCTGGCCCGCATCCGCTCCCAACCGCCGGCGGGTCTCGGTCTCCTGGTTCAGGTCAAGGCGCACGAGAGCACGCGGCGGAATGCCTTCTATGTCAGTGCTCCGGTTAATGTGTAAGTGGCTATCCTCTGCGTGGCGAAACTTTAATTAAAAAGTTTATTCATAACTTTTTTATCATATTTTTTTTAAATTTAAATTAAAATTACTTTTTACGCTTCAAAGATATATCTACGGGTTCCGTCATTGAATTGTCCCGTTGCTTCTATAGCTTTAAAAAAAAGATTTTATTTTGAGAGCGAGTTTATAATTATACAAAAGATTAAATGATATGTTGTCTAGTAAACGAAAAATGTCATTGGAGAGAAACTCAAATGATTAACTGTTAATTAACAGAAAAGTGCCATTAATATTTACCACATTTAATGTTTTATATCTTTATTTATTCAAGTTATACTAATTAATGAAACATTTGCTTTGTAGCCTGTTTAAAGCCGCCGAAGAAGCCCGCCTGCCCAAGCGTCTGCGACCGGATTTGGGCGGAGCTCTGCGAGAGTTTACCACCCGCGAAAGTCATTGTTTCCAGCAGCTGCGAGGTGATGTTGCCAGCACGGCACTGTTTACCTCCCAGGAGCGGCAGTGGCTGGTCCTCCAGGTGTTACAGGGTCTGCGAGCAGGATGCAGCGACATCGACGCCCTTCATGGACGAGCTGCCGTTGCCGAGGGCCAGAGCATCGTGGCCGCTTGGCAGGAATCCGGTCTGATCACCCAGGTCTTCCCACTGCACGAGCCAAGTTCGTTGACCCAGCTCCAAACGCATTGGGTTAAGCAGATATTCGCACCACAACCATTGGGTAAATATTTGAAAAAATAATAGATACATAAATATAAGTACATTCTATTATCTTATGGTAGAAAACTGAGCAAGGTTGTATTCATTGCTGAATAAATAATGCCCATTTAAAGCTGCTAGATAGTATTCACTTTTTTCCCTTACTTTGCTAAATATAAAAATTTCCATCTCCTTGCTCAACATACAAGCCAAGCATCCCACATCCTTTTCAAGCAAAAAACTCATTAAGCTTTGATATCCCGAGGCCTAAAAATATTCTCTTTCCAGATGACATTGCTGCCTATTTTGGCGTAAAGGTTGCCTTGTACTTCGCGTGGTTGGGTCATTACACCTGCGCTTTGGGCGTTCCTGCCGTGTTTGGCACCATTCTCTATTGCATTCTGTGGGGCAAAGGGCAAACGGCCCAGGACATGGGACACGTGCTCTTCTCCCTGTTCAACGTGGCCTGGGCTTCACTGTATCTGGAAGCCTGGAAGCGCTATTCCGTGGAGTTAGCCTTTCGCTGGGGCACTTTATCAACGCCGCCGGAGCTGTTGGAACCACCGAGGCCACTGTACAAGGTATGGGGGGCCACTTAAGTTATTGACAATTTGTTTGATTAATCGCATATCCCGGATCAATGCCTTAGGGTCCCCTGGAGGAGAACAATGTGACGGGTCGCTTGGAACCGAAAGAGGCGCCAGCTTGGCAGAGACGAGCATTTCGCTATTTGGTCAGCTTTCCTATTATCGGATGTTGCCTGTGTGTCGTCTTTGCCGTGATGTTTCTCATGCTGCGCTTTCAGGTGAGTCAAGCTCAATTTTTCAATATCTATCCATGTGTGTAAAATACATTGAACCCCGAAAATTACCCTTGCAAATGTGTTTCTTACTATCGTTCAAAAATTAAATTCATTAATCAAATAAAGTGGTGCTTTTACAAACGAAATAAATGATTACATGATACAAAAACAATAGGGAAATAAATTTATTTTCTCTTGTAATCATCAATTTATGTTTGGTGAAAAGTATCAAAGAACTTAAACAAATTGTTAAGATTTAAAAATGTTTTTGCCGATTAAATTTCGAGTGTAGAAAATATCTTAATCATATAATCATGTTTAAATAGGCTATAAAAACACAAATCAAGAGCTCCGTAAATCCGTAAAGCTTTATTATTATTTGCAAGGGTATGCAAAGCACTTTCCAATCACGGCATTCGTGTTGCGACCCAAACTGTACCACAGTGCGTATAATTAATATTGTTTTCACGTTAAGCGATATACCAATTTGTGTGCGCGCGTGTGTGGATGTTCGTGTGAATGTGCTCGTGTGTCGCCCGCTTATCAATTTGTTGATTTTCTTACCGCTTTCTTAACGCTTTACGAGAATCAGCCGAAACACACACACGCGCATATTTTAACCGCTTTTGCACACTCACATTTACGTGTGTCCGGTTTCCGGCTGACATTGTTGCTGGATTTTTATTTCCGCTCCTGCATTTGACCCACTTTAAACCATAGTTTCTCTAAGTTGGTTTATTTTCTTCTTGAATTGTGTTCGCAATAAAAACATACAAAGAAAGAAGGAAGAAGTTAAATAAGTTTATCACTCATCACACATCATTGAATTGTTTTTACATTTTTATTTCTCCTTCGTTTTCTATGTTGTTTTTCTATTTTTGTATACTTCACAGGATTGGCTGGATCACCATAACATACCAGATAAAGGAGTTGCTCAATGCATGTATAATTTGCACAAGGTTATTATCTTATTTTAACTCGCATTTAATTATTTTGTATGTATGATTGAATGATCCACGTATTTGTGTTGTAGTAGTTTTTTGAAATCATTGGGATGGGTTTTTTTAACTAATAACATTTTTTAGGTCCGAAAGATCATTACCATACCATCAGATCATTACCATATTTATAAGCAAGTTAACCATAAAGATAAATTCATTAAATTAATTGGTTACTGAACATTAAGTTCAAATTTTTTATTCACTTATTTTCTAAAACTAGTTTTGTTAAGGAAGCCTATACAAAAAATCATAGTATATATCTGTATTTAATGAAAACGTTTTCGACTTTCCACAAATGAAATTGTTTTGGTTTTTTCTTTTGCTGGCGCGTTAACCAAGTATTTTTTTCATTAAAACTTTTTCACACATATGCACTTTGGTCGAAGTATTTTTTGCAATTGCTTTGGGCCATCATTTTGCATACGCAATCTTTTTTTCTTTCTCACAACCCGAGCTGACGTTAATTAAAATGCTCAGCTGGCGAAAAATAAACTGCCTTTGGGAAGCTGAAGATAGATTCAGAAGGGAGAAAGTGTTTTCAGCAAGGAAAAGAGCTGGCCACCATCGACGTTGATTAAATACCATGAAACTTTGGTTGACATTAGACATTTTACGCATAATTGAATGTCTTAAACTAACAGAACACATTCGACGAAAAACAACCAAAATAAGGAATGGAAAATATTGTGAAACATTCTTTGATATAAAGTTCAACTTTTTTTAATACAAATATTCATGAACTAAAATTATTAAAACAAGAAAATAGTTTTTTGGAATAGTACAATAATGTTCCCCACTCCTGAATTTTCGGATAGAGAAATGAAATCCTTTTAGTACAACATTTTTTCTGTACAGTAAAGGCTTCTCTTGTATTCTTTGGTACACGTTTTTATAGCGGCATTTAACCTGCGCAAAAGGATACTCTCCTCTTTCATCAGTTGATGTCGAAAAGTTAAAAAGCTGCCAGCGTAGTTGACAAGCTCCACATCTCACTAATCTGAGAACGGACCATTTAGTAGTTGTTGTTTGGCTGTTGGCTACCACTCGGTGTTTGCAGGTAGTTCATGTGGCTTAATGCGCACCTGGAGCCAGGGGACAATGGCGTTTTTGGTTCGGTTCTCTTTAGTGCTCAACCGAGCACCTAAATGTTGTCGTAATGAAGCGTACCGGTGAGGTTGGGGCATCATGTGTGAGTGCTCCAGTGCGGTTATCGCGGTATTTGTCAAAAGCAGACTTTTGTGGTTAAAGGACTTGGTTAACTGAAGGATGTCAGGCATACTAAAATATAAATTTGGAATGCTTCACATAAGTTAACAAAGTGGAGTACTTTAATCAAAAGTTTAATATACAGATCATTATTTTTCAGTAGGGTATAATTAAAATTAATCAAAAATGTTTCGCTAATATGTAAAAAATTCCAGGCAAAAAAAGGTTATAAATTAAACTACTCTCCAACTATCAGTTAAATTACCTGGTGCAAAAGTGTGGTTAATTAAGTTGAATAAAATGTGCAAGCCAATAAAACACATTGTATATATACATTTAAGCGTGAGACAAAAGCGGCAAAGTCTTTTGTTCTGCAGTTTAACAATAACCACTTTAATATCGAAATGACTCGTTGAATTTTAAACGGTGGGGAAGAAAATCAGGACACGGATCCTCACCACTCGTGCTGTTTATCCTCGGAAATAGCTTGTAATGTAATCAAACTGCGTAAACACTCAATATGCGTTTCATTAGCGATGAAAGGGCAAGTTTGTATGGTGGGTCAGTAGGAGAATGAATAATAATGACAGGTTAATGAAGGTAAATCGAGGCAGGGGTATCGGAAATTGATGGAATGCTCGAAAAAGAGTGGGCTGTGCTGATTAATATCGATGTTTATACAGGTTGCGTGTGTCGGCTAATAAGAAAGTACTTACTTTAAATTATATAAAAACTATATATTTTTTTAACTCTAATCCTACAGGATTGGTGGGACTCCAAGTTGCCGGAGGAAAGTGTCTTGTGCTGTTTGAGTGTCATTCCAAAAGTCCTGTTGGCAGGAGCCATTACCCTAATGGACGAGGCCTACTTTAAGTTGGCCGTTTGGCTTAATGATCGCGGTAAGTTGGGGTAAAATATTATAAGAACCTCTAATATCTGAATTCTTAATTAATAAACAGAAAACTATCGCCTGCAGTCGAAATATGAGAACCATTTGATAGCCAAAGTTGCGCTTTTCCAGTTTGTCAACTCTTTTCTATCGCTCTTCTATATTGCCTTTTATTTGCGGGATGAGGAGAAGCTCAAAGAGGTAATGTTTTTAACCGTTACATTCTATAATATATTTATATTTCATAATTCATTTTTATTTTAGCAACTGGCTGGTCTGCTCATCTCCCGCCAAATAATTGGAAACCTTAGGGAGTCTGCGCTTCCCTATTTCGTTGAGCAATGGAAACTGGCCAAGCTGAGCTTCAATATGTGGGGTGCTCTTAGCCCAACCCAGAATGTGACTCGCAGTCTGGCCGAGGAATTGGCCACCGCCGAAGCGGAACTTAAAGCCGAAACCACTGGCACGCCCACCAAAACCCAACAGGCCGAATCGACAAGTAAGAGGAATATTGGTCAGGCTGAAATTGAGAGCTCCTTGTACAAGGTGATTGACGTATTTCAAGTATTGAGTTTTTTAATTGACTTTTCATTTACAATCCCCCCTTTCCCACTCCTTCCACTCTTCAGTATGATGGCACTTTTTCGGACCATTTGGAGATGCTCGTTCAAATGGGCTATGTAGTGCTCTTCTCGGCCGCCTTTCCACTGGCCGGAGTTTGTGCCCTGATCAATAACCTGATGGAGATTCGCTCGGATGCCTTCAAGCTGGCCCATGTGCATCAGCGACCTTTTGGTCAGCGTGTCGCAAACATTGGCACCTGGCAAAATGCCCTCAGCATTCTGTCGCTCGCCGCCGTCATCGTGAACTGCGCTCTGATTGGACTCTCTGGACAGGTGTCGCGGCTTTGGCCCGGATTGACCACCGCACAGACAATCATTCTGATTGTCACCCTCGAGGTGAGTTTAGCAAAGAGACAAAACGAAATTACTATACCCCAACAGAGAGTTTTATGGCTGAGTAGGATTTTCCCATTAAGCAAATTTGTTTAGTCTAGACTACTTTCATTAACTAAATGTTTATGGATATTACATGTCTTGAATTCTATGGTTTAAATTGCGGTTTACAAGCTCTCAAAAAATCAACAACATATTTGGCCACATCCTTTTTTTATGAGGTTGTACATAAAAAGGTTTTCAACTAAGTAGTACCTAGAATTTATGATTCAGAAACAGTTTACAAAATTTTTTTTTTAATGGTAAGCAGATATTTTGTTAAACTACAATTTAGACAATACAAATAGTTGGAGGGGATAAAGTAATAAATATTGTGATATAAAGGAATTGTATTTTAATATATGTATATTAATGTTGTACTTTATGAAATATCTAGCACATAATGCTGGGTCTGCGGCAGGCACTCACCTGGCTCCTACCGGAATTGCCTTCCTGGTTGGCGGCGGAAATCGCTCGCGCCGAACATTGCCGTCGGGAAATGCAGTGCAAGGGCACCTCACCACGTCCCACACCACCGACCCCGCAGTCAACCACATCCACACAGCCGGAACAGGATTGTCCCGGCGGACTGCAAATGGAGAGCGGAGCGAGCACCACCCGAGATCAGTCCATGGAGAGCCAGGTGGCCGAGGATTTGCTGCTTTATGGTCAGGAGTTTGCTGGCTATGGACGCAACATAGAGGCGGATGTTAATATTTGTGAGAACCGTGATTCGTCACCAGATTCACCACCATCACAGGTAAGTTCATAAAGAAAAGACCTTGAAAAAAATGTATGTAAAATATTTATATGTTTTTATATATTTTTCAGACCAGTACCATTCTAATTAGACCGCTGCATGAGTCAACGCCACCTCATGGTGGCGCCTCCCTAGCCAGTTTGCATCAGGACGGTAATGGCGGGTGAGTGGCTCTTCCATTAAAAATAATAATAAAGGAGTGTGGGACAGAGAAAACTTAAGTATTTTGCACACGCCAAGGTGCCGGGTAAACCCCTAATGGTCACCACAAACTTAATGAATATGCACTCAACCAACTGCTGCAGTTCAGCAGAAATTTATAAATATATTTTTTACATACCAACAAATTCTCTCTCTTTACTTCATACATAAGTTTTTATTGTTACCTTTTCCCTTACGTCATTTTGGCTCTTCTTTGTATTAAGCAAAATAAATTTGTTCTTTGGTAGAGCTAATGTTAGAAAATCAAAAATGTTTATACCGGAAATTCCACCGTATCTTGGATATTCAGTGCGAAATTTAGCCAGTTTAACTGGCAACAATCCGAGAATGCAACAACATCAGAAGCTCCACAGCGGGTAAATTATGGCTGGATAGTTGGTTAGATAGATTGTGTCTTTCGAAGCGTGTTTTAGATGCTTTCGATGCTGTAACTAAATGGTTCTAGTACTGATTTCTGATTGCTCCTAGAGTTTATTATTTTATTTGATTTGTACAAAAGAGCAACTGAAATCGGCATTAGTTCAGCTTTATGTTTAATTTATGTTTGTTGCTGTTCAATGCCCTTTCCGAGCCTCAAAAAATTGTGCAACCTTCTCAAAATTGGCCAACCTGCTCTATCTTAGAAAACTGTTTTATATGATACAAAAACTACTAACTATTCTTACTCAACTTTCTTAAATTCTATCTTAAATTTTGTACTTTTTTCTCTCGCTTTATGTGTGGCACACAGTGCTTCCGCCAGCACGCTCGCGCTGAACTCGTCTTCATATGCAGCTCGCATGCAATCGATGCATATTCAAGAAATACCACCATTCCGTAAGAAATCGACAGATTCAGCCGATCAAACGGGCAGCAGTGCCAGCAGCAGTCCCCAAAGGACAACAATGAGACAATTGTCGGCGCAACGGGAACCGCATCAGACGATCCCAGAGATACCACCGTACAAGACGCGCAAGATATCCGCGGAGAGTGCCATGCATCTGAATATGAGCGTAAGATCTGGGGGAAGACCCCATTGTCGTATACCTTATACCCGTAAACAGGAATCTAGCCCCTTTTACAAGAGTTTCCCCAATGACGTACTGTGTCTCTGTAGCTGCTCTATGTACTTTGTGTGTCAGTAGAAACTTGCATCAACTATGAAAAGCCTCTATACTACTGGTTATCTTACCAACAATCTGTAGAACTCCCAACTCACCGCTCTACTTGATTTCCTAAAAACTTAAACTGTCGACACATTTAATTTAAAAATAAATTAGTTGGAAGAACTTTAATTAAAGAATTCACTTTTCAGATTACTTTAATCTGTGCTTTACTAAGCTAACCTAACATTTTAGTACCCGAATAATATTTTAAGGGCGAGTAGGACAGTATAAAAACATTATTCAAATAACACATTAAATATGAAGCACTGCCCTTAAGACCCCCACTGAAATAGTTAATGCCACACTTGAACTACCCAAAAAAAAACCGAAATTAAATACTCACCTAACCTTAAAACCCCGCTCGAATTTTGCCGTTTAAAGGACAAGCTACACATAAAACTACATGCACCAGAATGGATGTCACGTTTGAAAGTCAACGACAATGCAAATCTGCATAGAAGCATAGATTGTATTTCCAAGGTAGTGAAGTGACACATACTATATATGAATACTATATATATCAAACCGGATGCATATACATAAGAATAACGTGTTTGTTACTCAATGTGTGTTGTTGGTGTTTTCTTCTTGGAAATTGCAGGATCAGTAGAAATGTATCAAATGTAGAAATCATACTGTTAAACCCTTGCTTTTATTGGAACCCAAGTTTGGGGGAAGGGAATACAAAATACCAAAATTGATTTGGCATGGCAGATGCTTTCATACACACAAAATCCACGCTGGCTTCTCAATCACTCACAAATCCACTCACTAAACAAACGGCATGGATTTACTATATAGCATCATACACAGAACCTAGTATTAAACCCATAAGCTTTTGATGTCGATAGATCCTAAGTTACTTTACTAGTTTCATAACAATTGGTTAATAACTTTAATTTGTGTTTTGCTAAATCTGAAGGAACTCGGAAACACGGCAGACACGGCGGATATTCTAAAGCCAGCTCCTTCCTGGTGCAATGTGGCCATGAGATCAGGAGCACCGGGCAGCAATTTGGCCACCCCACCAGCCTCGCAGCACCAGCAGCAGATAGTAGCCTCATCGTCCTCATCCTCCGGCGGCGGTGGCAGTGTCTTCAGTCCCAGTGGCGCAGGACCCACTGGAGCAGCCGGTGGGATCACCAATTCCCAGTCAAGACCCAGTGTCGGTGCACTTTCGAACTCCTCGTCCAGTTCGTCCCACAAACAGCAGTTGAAGCAGCAGGCCAAGGAGGAAAAGGAGCGGGAAAAGGAGAAGGAGAAGGAAAGGGAGAAGGAGCGACTGAAGGAAAAGGAAAGGGAGAAGGAAAGGGAAAAGGAAAGGGAAAAGGAAAGGGAGAAAGAATCCAAGGATAAGGATAAGGATGCTCAGGGAGCAGCAGCATCCACATCTACAGCAACTGATGACGAAGCTAAGGGTAAGTTATATAGAAAACTAAATATATAAAAATAAATATAAGTTCCTTACCCACTTTAAAGTTATATACAAATTAATACATATATATAATAGAATAAACAAGTTTACTACATTTTTTTTATTATTTGCTTTTTAGCTGCTGAATTGGCCGCCAAAAAATCTCGTCTCAAGCAAAAGCTGGTCAAAAGTGCGAGATCCGTGGCCATATTCTCGCTTAAACTAAAAGAAAGAAGACAACGTGAAGCGGAGAAGGCAGCCACCATTGCAGTGGAGCATGCCAAGGTAAGGGATAATATCTATAAGATATAATATAATATCATTATATGTTAATACTTTCAAACCATATTATTTTAGGCTCTGGCCAAGCTGCCGATGCCGCAGCCCGTGGGAGGCGAACTGTCCCTTATACCCATCGAACACCTAATCCAAATCGAGGATATCATACCCGCGATGAAGTCTGCTGCTGCGGCATCCAATATGTCGGCACCTGCAACATCATCGAGTCAAGCTGGCTCCTCATCGACGTATCATCATCAACAGCAGCAACAGCAGCAGCAGCAGCAGCAGTTACCATCCACCTTCGCAGGCACATCCGCATGCGGATAATTAGGCTTCTTGAGCATTAAGATTGATTAACCACCCTATCGCACACTTTGTAAATAGTTTTCTATGCACCCGCCCCCATCTAGCCGAGATTTTATCGAAGTTACTGATGATATATGAGCATATTTGCTGAATGTGTGTCTTGTCCAGAGTTGGAAGCAACTAATTAACTATACATTGTGGTGTACCGTATAGCGAAGTTAAGTTAATCAATTTACTAATACGAATATGTTTTTCGAAAATCATTTCATATTTAAAATTTATCAAGATTTTTTTATCATCGGAGTTCAATTGAATACGTATTTAAGCTGAATAATGTTTATGGGGATTATCAGATTCCCTGGTACTGTGCAATAGTAAAGCCAATAGTAGTCAGCAAACAAAACAATAATTTTAAAAAGAGAGAAGCTGTAAAACGAATTTTTGTTTAGCGTTTTAGCTGTTAATGTGTTTTTGGTAGTCATTGTTGATTAGCATTTAGCCGTAAAAAAATATTTGTTACATGAAAAATGTTGAAAAAGTTGCATTTGCATTTATGTTGCCAGTGAACGAATATTGAATAGTTACGAATATTAAATAACGAACACAATCAAACACTCTCACACCGAAATCAAAACCGAACACACACCACGACACGCATAACTGTGAGATAATATCGTCCATTGTTCCTTCCATATACAAGGATAACGCCTTCGCACTCGCTTTTAGCTATGGTACAACAGATCGGATGATAAACTATTACTAACTGCAGCTTGCTATTAACGAAGAAACATATGTATTTATTACTTGCTGCTAAGTGTTTTCCTCGATTTACTATTGTATTGTTCTAGCTTGATCAAAACAAAACGAATGAACTTCACACTTTATCGACAGCCTAGTCAGAAGATCTACACTTTAACATAGATGCACCCGAACACAAAGGATATTTGTAAATATATTCTAGGAACTAAGTGTAATTTAAACGCGGTATACACGCTATACGGATGTATAATTATATGTGCTCTTGTGTTGGAAAAAAATTTAAAGTAAATAAATTCATTAAAAAAAGTTGAATTTACCTTTTGGGTTCGGTGCGGAACTTAGCTGAAATTTTTTGTAAGTAATGGAAAGAATACTTTTGGGGGTGATATATTTATTCAGCAGATTAAAAGGATATCTCCATTTGTTGGACTGTATTCTCTTATATTATAAAAAATATTTATATCCTGCTTTAAATTATTTGATTTTAATGATTAAACATTTTACTATAAGGTTCATTTTTTATAAACGATTCCCAATTTGAATAACATTTTCTTGTTACTGTAGCTCATAAAAATTCCTCTGCTTTAACAACCACTTTTTTCACTCCCTTTAAATATTTTGCTACTCAGTGGAATTGTAAAATATGTAAATCTTAATCACGTCTCAGATGGAGCACTCGCCTTTATTAAAAGGGTCAAGGATAATGGATTGTTTAGGGTCAGCTGTGAAACTTTTCCAGAACTGATTGCACCGCCACCTGCATCAGTCTGGTCTGGCTGTGGTTTAATCATTACGTTTAAATCAGATAGAACTAGTGCCCTCACCACGGACAGCACTCGATGGTTACAAGTGTTTCAGAGTACGATTTCATTCGGTTGCTTTGCTTCTTTTTGTGTTGCCTTTTTTTTTTTGCAACAACATTTTTCATTTTGTTTTATAGCCAAGCTTAACGAATGGTGGACACGGGTCAAGTCAAGTCGACACACATGGGTCTCTCGCAATTCCACGTACAAATCTCCAACCTGAGACCCCATACCTCGTTCATCTACATCGTCATCGTCATCGCCATCAACACTTGTCATTGTTGCAGGTGAGCTGTGCCGAGCTGAGCTGAGCTGAACTGAGCTGAACAGTGCTGCCTGTAACTGATTTCAGTTGGCTGATAAAATTTCTGAGCCGAGCGGGCAGTCGTTGGCCATTTGCCTGCTTGACAAACGCACTCCTCACGTACGGCTAATTAACGCGCGTTTTAAGGCCTCGCTCCCGTAATCCCCAAACCTCTCACCCCCCAAACACTCCCCCTCTTCCCTTAGCCTTTTTGTATCGCCGCTCCCTATCTGGCTGACTCCCTCCTTTGTCCCAAAAGGCACGAGTCGCATTACGAATGCATTATGGTACGAGACTGCCGAGTTGGCCAGATTGCCAACTTGCCAACAGATTAAGTGGCATATGTTTTATAAGTTCACTCACTCATAGCATCAAATATTTATGGGAATGAAATTTTAATATATAGTGTATACTTTTTAGTTTCAGTGGGTTTTCATTGCTACGGAGACATACCAGATTTTGCTAAAAGTAAATGGTTGTTAAAATGTATTTGGTTCAACTCAATTTAATTTCAAAGCTAATTTTGAAAATGTACGCTTTAAAGTACATTTTTAAATTTTTTATAAAAAAAAGGGAACATTCATTTTCTACTTATCAAAACTATCTGTGTGTTCTGAGTTTTAATAGCACAATACTTTTCAGCGAATTATTTTAATATAATATATTCAAATGGTTGCAAAATAGTTTGCTAAACATTAAGAGCCAAGATTGCTACAAAACACAAACAACCTAAAAAATACATGTCTTGCGATAAACTTAAAAAATAAAACAATGCAAATGAAAAAATACCTCGACAACACCCAAACGAAAAGTAACACCGAAATAATGGCACAAAGACGGTCTGAGGAAAGAGGTAGTTGGTAGTTGGTAGTTGGAAGTTGGTAGTTATGTAGGAAACCATAACGAGCTGAAGTTGCTATATGTACTTGTGCTCCGGCGGAGATCGGCGAAGGTTGGCCAGATGATAATGATGATGATGATCATGCGAACAAGGTAGCCACCAAACAGAAAACAGACAACGCTTTATGAGCGATATTACCGTAAGATAATGGACAACAGGCAGAGCTTAAAAACTTTTTGGGGCGTTGTTTAAACCAACCACAAAAAAAGGGGGAAAAAAAACCAAAACAGAAATACAGGTTGGTGAAATCTCACCGGATTCGGAGTCTGGGTCTGTGCACCTGACCCGAAAATGTTTCACATTGCGCGAGTTACAGTTAAACGCCATTTTTTCCATTGAATTTCGGCTGTTACTTTTTCCTCAAGATCTCTTGTTACGGCGAGAAAGCAACAAAAAATATAAATAAAACGGGCGAAGGGTGAAGAGCTTTGGGATCCCGTCCAGTAGCCAGCAATTTGTTTGTCCGAAATGGTTGGTAGGGCCATTAATATGGCCAAAATGACAGGGGAGAAACGTCCAAAGAAGGAGGATGCCCTCGAAAAACTAAAATGAAACGAAAGAAACGGCCACGCCCCGAGGGCGAAACGGTAAACGGTAAATGGCCCCCAAAGACTGGGTTTCTGTGCGCTGCGATTCGCCTTTTCGACATTTTTCTGTAGTTTAGTCAGAGTTACGATTCTGACCCATGGTTTATTCACCTGTGCTCATAGCCGACAGTCGGCCACAGTGAGCTTAAATTAAAATTTAAATTGCTATAACATTCGGTTGTTTTCTGTTGTTGTTGCTGTTGTTGTTGCCGCCGTTCGTTGTTGTTTATCTTAATGAAACTTTTTAAATCGCTTTTAAGACCGTCGGTCGGTCGGTTTGTCGGTCGGCAGCTATTAAAGCCATACGGCTATATATAAAGCTCACACTCTCTCGGATCTCTTTGATTTAAATGCATTTAATTTTGAGGCATGTGAAAATTAATTACATTTAATTAGCCTGGCCCCCATCCCGTTCCGTTCCTTCAAAAATACAAGTTGCCGTTTGTTGGCTTTTTAATGGTTTGATAATTTCAATTTTCGTTTATCCAATACAGAAAACACCCGGTAACGAGTAAACTAATAAAACTTTTAACTCACATGCTCATCCAGTAGCTCCGGCTTTATGGTCCCCTTCTCAAAAATAAGAAAAAACAGGGAGTAGAACGATCTTGAGTTTGCATTGGGAAGGTCGCACGATTCTTTAATTGAATTTCAAACGAAATGTACTTAGGCACCGACTGTTCGGTTTCTTTTTTCATAGCTAACCAAATTAAACGGAAGCAACGTTCTATTTTGATTCTGTTTTAAAAGTATTTAAATCTCATTTCAACGCAAACCAATCTGCGAGTCTGAGTTTTAATTTGTATTTAACTCAATTAAGGTCACTGTTTTTTGGGGTGGGTAAACCTTCTAATCTAAACCAAGGAAATCTGCTTTCAGAAGAATCTTACAAATAGCCAGTAAAGCTTGGGTGATCAAATTGGGTATTTAATTAGGCAATTGCTTTAACGTTTATTTAAAACTCAGGGGTATGTACATTTCTGTAACTCTTAAAAGTATTAACCTTTCGAAGTTCAAAAAGCAATAGATTTTTTCATTAATTCTTAATAAAGAGAATATAAAAGTAGGTAATTCTACATATTTCCATTACCAAAACAGTTTAAAGTCCCAAGTGGTAAATTGTTTTGCATAAAAAACTATAAAGTCGTTTCGTTTATTATAATGTGCCGTAAGAACTTACTTCCGAAGCATTTGCTATTCCGACACCTGCCACTCGCCATAAAGAAGACGATTCTATTCTGAATGTGCCATGTGACACATAGAAATCTCGCCCCCTGGGTTAATGTCTATCGTCTGACTTTTGCCAAACGACAATTACTTTTTGTACTCGAACACTCAAAATGGAACTTGTTTGAGTACAGAAACCATACAAAAACAAAAAAATGCTAGACAAAAAAAAAAAAGAACAACGAAAAGCAAGAATGTTTTAATGTGTAATTAAAGTAAATTTAATTAAGCAACTACAGGCGAACGGCAAACGGTGAGTGCAAGTCGACTAGATCTTAAAGATCTCTCATCTAGTGACAATTTATGGCACAGTTTGGCATTCGTATAACCAAAACGTGGTGCAACTGGGGGGATTTCCGAGATCGCCAGGAGCGCCGCCACAGATCTCTTTATTGTGGCACGCTGAAAACTGTCAACAATTTTGATGAAAATAATTGGCCCGGCAGCTGTGGGCGACGACGGCCCCAATTATGGTTACTGGGGGGCGATAAAATGCGTACGTGTTCATAAATATTGTCAATTAGCGAGGGCCCAGCGATCGATCGATCGATGGATCGATGGGCAGAAGATCATCGAGCAGAACCGAACCGAAAGGAGCCAGGGCTAATTGCAAACCGCAAAACTGATGCTGCTGCAACTGCAAAACTGCAAAACTGCAAACTGCAACTGGAAACAAGTTACGCAACAATCATCAATGGGGATTGAGTTACATTTACGATCGCCGAGTTGGGGAGTTGAGATGCCTTTGCCCGGCGGCTGAGTTGATTGATCAAACGGTGACAATATGGCACTTACGGGTGCAATCAAAACGAGGATGGATCGAATGGATGCGCCCGCAATATTCGTTCTGAAAACGCTCCCAGCCAACCAACCAACCACTCGACCATTATTTTATAAAGCGTGCTGACTGCATAGCAAAGCGTTGCCATTGCCATTTCCCGAATGCCGCTTGATTAGCTCCTGGCTTATGGTTTCCAATTGGCTTCTCTGGGGATTGATGAGCACCTTTGGCTGCCAGCAATGCGCATCTCGAATTCCCCCCCGCTGGACATTTTCGGTCTCGGCAGTTAATCCTCGAGTTAATTAAATTAATTAAACGTTACAATTGCCGCTTGGGGGATTTGAATGGCAATAGAGACTCGAGTGTGGGCCAGTGAGTAAATTATTGGCATGGTAGTTCATAAAATTGGCTAGATAGGTTAGAGATTGAGTGGGTCATTTCAAAGTGGAAGAGAAAGTTAGGTACTTAAAGGGAATTCCTTTGAAATGTAGGTCATTAGAAAATTTAATGTAGTGTTCTACAAAGTTTAACTGAGCTTTCATTTGATGCGAATTAATTTAATAAAAATATTTTTAAGTCATTTTCTTCTGATTAGTGGTTCGATATATTTAAATACTATTTCTTAGGTTAAAAGTTGTTTAAGAAAATCGTAGGTACTTTCTTGGTAATTTACATTTAGGTG